CGCCCCCGCCGGAGGACTTGGAAGGCTGTGAGAGCAGGGAATAAGGCAGTTCAGTTGTAAGGACCAAGACGCTTGGGAATGCTCCAGATCTCTGACAAAAACAGGAACACAGACTGAGAAATAGGGACCAGTTAAGAGGACAGGAACACAGGATGGAGGTGAAAGCTCAGAATCAAGGCAGGGATCCTGTTTTTAATTAATGAGGTATCACATCAGCTTCCAGCCAAGTCAGAGCCTGGCTGCTGCTCTGATGTTGAGAGATTTAAAACAGGTTTTTCCCGTTCCTCATCAACTTGCAGAAAATGAAATAAAAGAAACTCAGTTCCTTAAATTTGAGTCTCTATTTTTTTAAAATAAATTTATTTATTTATTTATGGCTTCCTTGGGTCTTCGCTGCTGCACGCAGGCTTTCTTTAGTTGCCGTGAGCGGGGGCTACTCTTTGTTGCAGTGCACGGGCTTCTCATTGCGGTGGCTTTGCTTGTTGCAGAGCACGGGCTCTAGGCACGCGGGCTCAGTATTTGTGGCTCACGGGCTCTAGAGCACAGGCTCAGTAGTTGTGGCACACGGGCTTAGTTGCTCCATGGCATGTGGGATCTTCCCAGACCAGGGCTTGAACCCGTGTCCCCTCCATTGGCAGGTGGATTCTTAACCACTGCACCATCAGGGAAGCCCCTGAGTCTCTATTTTTAACCCAAAGTATATTTGAAAGCTAATCCAACTAGTAAGTGTGCAATTATTGTCTAAAAAATATAGACTTGTCAATGTAATATACCAAGCATGATTAATTTATGATTAAACCAAAATGTACATAATAGAGCTTTATGTTCCTGAACAAATCATATAATTAAAATCTGTAAGTAGTGTTCAGTTCTTTACCCTAAAGCATCCCATACAAATCCATCTGAATATTTTCTAGAGGGGAGAAGGGTAGAAATATGCAGGTGCCATCAATTTGCAAAATATTGGCAAGACTTTTTTTTTTTTTTTACTGTGGTAAACTACACCTAATATAAAATTTTCCATTGTAACCATTTTTAAGTGTACAGTTCAGTGGCATTAAGTACATGCATGCTGTTGTACAACCATCACCACCATCCAGCTGCAGAACTTTTTCATCTCCCTAAACTGAAACTCTGTACCCATTAAATAATAATTCCCCCCTCCCCTTTCTTCCCCACCACCCCTGGCAACCACCATTCTACTTTCTGTCTCTATGAATTTGGCTACTGTAGGTACCTCATGCAAGTGGAATCATACAATATATTTGTCCTTCTGTGATTGGCTTATTTCATGATGTAGCATGTGTCACAATCTCCTTCCTCTTTAAGGCTGAATAATATTCCATGTATATATACACCACATTTTGTTTATTCATCCTCTTGTGTTGCTTCACCTCTTGGTTATTATGAATAATGCTGCTATGAGCATGGGTGTACACGTATCTGTTCGAGTCCCTGCTTTCAGCTCTTAGGCATATACTTAGAAGTGGAATTGCTGAATATTATGGGGACAAGATTTTTAGAGGTCCATAGAAACCATTACTCCTGAACTGGCACGAGAACATTCTCAGATGCTCAGGGTCTTTTCAGGAGATAGGGATTTGTGTCTTTGGTATCAAGGAGACTGTGGGTTTCATGTCTAATGCTTAATCATCTAACACCTGTAATGTTGAGTAAAGGCAGTTGTTGACATCGTATTTTGCATCTTGCTGTTTATTACTTACTGGCTTTGAGATCAATTTTACTCATTATTTTTCAGGCTCCATTGATAACTTGGTTGACATTTCCATCCTTATTTTTCAAATAGGAGTGCTTTCACAAAGTACCAAATGAATATTTATACTTGTATTAAAAATGAAATACAGAGGCCGCCTGGAGGGGTGGGGTAGGGAGGATGGGAGGGAGGGAGACACAAGAGGGAAGAGATGTGGGAACATATGTATATGTATAACTGATTCACTTTGTTATAAAGCAGAAACTAACACACCATTGTAAAGCAGTTATACTCCAATAAAGATGTAAAAAAAAAAAAAGAAACACAGACATAGGAAATAATTTTTTACTGCATCAGCAATAGACGAACTAGAATGTATCAGTCTTTGGGTTTCCTGGCCAGCTTGTTGTTAACCTGCTGAGCCCCAGTATCTTCTTACAGCCTGCAATATGCCACTTGCTTTCGTAAGACCTGTGTGCATGAATCAAAGACTCTCAGTTGGTAAAAATAGAGTTGCCGTATGATCTAGCAATCCCACTCCTGGGCATATATCCAAACAAAACTATAATTTAAAAAGTTACCCCTGGGCTTCCCTGGTGGTGCAGTGGTTGAGAGTCTGCCTGCCGATGCAGGGGACACGGGTTCGTGCGCCGGTCCGGGAAGGTCCCACATGCTGCGGAGCGGCTGGGCCTGTGAGCCACGGCCGCTGAGCCTG